TCAAAGCACCACGAGGGTCGAGCGATTGCGTGCTTCGTTTGGTGATGATGCGCCTTCAAGAACCGCGGTGTTTGAGTGGTTCGCGGAAAACAAGCGTGGCAGACGGTCCCTGGATGGTGAGGCACGGTGTGGTCGACATGCGGAGGCCACCACCGCGGCCAACATTGCTGCTGTGCAAGCGACACTGGAGGATGTCGCGCGAGTAACTGTGGTACAGCTGAGGAAAACAAGCGGGATCAATCCGCACGCGAGGTACCCCATCAGCTTAGTGAGGACCAGAAAGCAGCTAGGGTGAATCGGTGCCGCACCATGTTTGCGAGGCTTCATTGTGGACGTTCCAATGTCATTTGGGGGATCCTTAATGGTGATGAAACCGTGGTGTACAGTTTCAAACCAGAGACCAAGCAACAATAGGCTCAGTGGACGCCCGTTGGCGAGGCTCTAACTCAGAAATTCTGGCGTAAGCGCAGTGTGGCCAAGCAGACGGTGACTGCGTAGGCGGCCAAGACCGGTCATGTGGCTGCTGTACCTCTCGGACGGCAACGCACAGTCACCGGAGACTGGTATGCCACCCACTGTCTGCCCCAAATGCTGGAACAGGTAGGGAGACGCCGTCGAAGGACCCGAGCACGAAGACCCTTGCCGCATCATGACAACTCACCTGCACGCAGATCCCGTGATGTCGTAGATTCTCTGGCTTGAGAATGTATCTAGGCGGCCGGTTACCCACCCTAAAATCCAGCTCTGACTTAGTGTGACTTTTATGTGTTCCCAAATGTTAAGCGTATGAGGCGTGGAATCAGCTGCGAGTCTCAGCAACTACAGTAAAGGCCTTTATTGAGCTGCTTGAAGGCTTACCCGTTTCGGCATCGTTTAGTTGCTTCTCCAAATAGTCTGAGGGCACGCAACTCTGCATGAACTCTGGTGGAGAGTACTTTGCGACAATGTAATTCTTATTCTGTTGTAAAAAACGAAACTTCTGTCCATCCTGAAACTTATTGCTCCACTCTAGTATTGTGGAGTCACACTGGTCGATTTCTCGTCACCAGTGCGTCTGCCGTGAGCAACTCTCAGGGTGTAGAACTGTGCTACAACAAGGGGGCGGAGAAGACTCCCCAAACAAATGGAATCTAGGGATGAACCGCACATGCTCTGTTTCATTGCGTAAGCAGACGATAGTAGTCAGTGGCCCCACTCATGAAGCTAGTCCCCTCTTTTCTCATAATATCGCACCAAGGATACCATGAAGGTAACCATCAACAATCCCCATTGGTAACTAACCTAATGTATTTTGAGGTGTTTTGTTATAACCACATACGGTTATCTAACCGGTGCACATACGGAAGAGAGTGATTTGGCGCAATCATTCTACTGAGACTCGTCTAGATCATTTGGTAATCCAAAAACCTACGGAATTAGAAGTTATAACTGTGCATTTTTTATACAGTGGTTTAAGCCACTAAGACATTGATGAAGGTGGTAAAACAGCGCAAAATATTGCCAGCTGCAAGACAGTATTTCTTCGTAATTTGTAGGGGGATGTATTAGGTATTTGGTAAAGGTTCGTCGCAGTTAGACACAAAGAATGCTACCACTCAGACAGGAAAGCGCTAGCGGGCGCTTCGGCCTATTGAGACTCGTCAGTAGCGCGCACCTGCCGAATCTTGCCGGATTAGAACTTACAACCTTAGTCTCGTGAGCCAGCGAGTTATGTCACTGAGTCATGGGCGAAAGTAGCGGACCGCTAGGACTGATATCTAACTGTGATATAGCACCGCTCATTATCCACTGTCATTCGCGTTATGAACGTACAGAGGACAAACCTGCTTTAGTACTGCTTCCTTTCTATTGCCAGGATCAGTTCCCTCACACTACACAGTAGACGGGAAAGGCCCTCAGTTAACGTTGCGTAGCGGATTCAGTAACCCATATTATCTGGGACAGCTTGTTTAGCAACAGGTGACTATCGAACGAGACTTAGGTATCATTGTACAAGTCGCGGCAATTCGCTCCAGTGCTTGAAAGCAGCGAATGTGGCGAACTTGAACTTGAGGCTTTTGAGGCCAGCTCCCGGCACCCTTGAGCGACGGTTGATCAACACATCTCTTTGTCCCCATGCTGTACATTCGTTTCAGGCCTGGTGCCTTTGGTTAGAGGAGATATTCGTCTCTTGGAGCAGCCTTAAAGAACAGCCACCAAAGCAACACGTGAATTATCCGGTCACAGATACGAACTGCGCCTTCGTTCATTCGGTGTGCTGTCCTCAGAATACCAACGGCTTCGCGGGGACCTCCTCCTCACATACCGGATACTAACTGAAAGCGAGCACCCGTGCACATTACTGCTGACCCTAGCCTCTTACAAACAATGTCGAGGCCAGCACCTGAAACTCGTGACGCAACACTCTCGTTTGAATCGTAGGAAGTACTTTTACTCTCTTGGAACCTATTCGCACTGGAATGCACCACCAGCTCTTGTGGTAAATGCACGAGACATCGCGACATTCGAGAGACTTCTAGAGTTTCACCATAGTCCTAAACGCTACACATCAGTGTGATTAAGTGCAGTGTCCTTACCATTGATGATTCACGTTCCACCCTAGAACATATTCTGCTTTTAATGTTCTTGTGCAAATTCCATCCTGTGGGTCTTGTAAAGTTATGTTTTCTATGCTGTCATACACTACTGAACTGCTGAGGTACTGAATCCTATATGTTCTACATCTGAAACTACAAAAACGCGGGTATTCTGTTCATTCTTTGATCAAACAACCGCCGACATGAACTGCCTTTTGAAGTCAGAAGACCACCTGTGATGCAGTTCGAAGGCGGATGCTCGGATCGCTGACTCGAATGCATGTACCTATGACAACGACTGCATACATCCCGTTGACCGGCGCCAATGCGGCAATGTGGTAAGCTGGATACGAAACGGCTGAACGTTGCGTACCATTAAATCATGGTTATTCCAGCTGGAGTACTTCGATTTTGGTAAAGAGTAGGCCCATGCCACACGAATCTTCCCAACAGCAACTAGTTGCTTGACTACGAGGCTGACAGTCTGTCCGTTGGAGTTACGGTAGGCGAACAGTATGAGAAGATCCGCCTTCAGTATCTCTTTGGGCAAGCCTAATTACCATCGATATAGCCCGAGGCAAACATGTAAAGGCGGTCAGAAAAATAATTTCGTCCTAGTTGAGTTGCATATATGGGCTTCAGAGAGAACTGTCAGCCAAAGCGGTTCCAATAATTCCCATTGGAAATGAATCTAAAACAGATCTTTATCATTGGGAATAAGGCCTAACCAACAACCTTGGGGGCAGTAGAATGTGTCGTTTCGGGTTAAATTACCATATATTAAAAGCCAAAGCTGTTGTAAAAAAAGGATGATTACGATTAACGTAGATCGGTATTGAAAGCTAGACTAGCTGGTCCCGATGCTTTAGGCTGTTAAGCTAACCCGTTTCACCGATGCCGTTATCGCCGTAACAACTGAAACCTCATGACACATAGACAGGGAAACGCCCATGGTAGATAAGATTCGAGACTAAGTTATGTCGCTGAAGCGAATCGATGAATTTAGCCCGCAGGCGTGTCATTATCGCTAATGAAGCACTGCGATATCACACTGGCAGTCAATCAATTGTCCCCATTTTCTGCTACGTGAGGTAAAATTCAGTCCGATCAGCAGAACGGTTATCACTTACCATTTCATCTTTAAATAGGGAAAAGTTGTATTTGCGAATTATATCACTGTGATCCCTGCTTGATACGCTAACCCAAACCACACATTTGTGCCGCACTTTTGTTAAACCACATCACGCAGGTAAGTGGTGCGAAACAGACCGACTTTTCCAATCGTAGGTAACTTATAGGCTCAAAACTACATCAGGTATTGAAAATGCCATCCGCAGGCAGTCAGTCAGTCAGTCAACATTGTCACACATGAACGTATTGCTGGAATCAATGAACACTAAATTTCAACTAATAAGGTAATTATACCATCGGTAAGGTTTACGTACCTAGATGGATGCGTTTTCAACATTTTACAGTATCGACTACTTCAAAGTTAGTCAGGGACCATATTGAGATTGTACAGCGCGATTGCTCATGTGCTCCAAAATGTGTCAATTTAAGTTAAAGTATTTCATCGCACCCAGACTACATCATGTCGATTGTCCTCGGAGAATCCTAACTAAGTCTGGACCGCGACCCAATCCCAGTACACATGGACAAAGAGCTATTTTATGCTTTACCCAAATACTATTCAGTATTTCATTGCAGCGCTTTTTCCGTGATCATCGCTTTTGTGGAGTCAGACTGGAGTTAAGAACGTACGTCAGTAAGAACAGCCTAGAGTCATTGAAGCTTAGTGGCCTTATCTGACAGGTACCTTCACGAAGTACAGTTAATAGCATTCGGAAGCGAACCACCCGGCTGCTTCTTATTACTAAGACTGTCTGCAATTATGAATTCTTCCATAAATCTAGAAGGCTAAGGTATGCAGCCGGCGTCACCCATGGTTTGGTGGCATATGACCTTGGCTACAAGTGGATCGGTCATAGATTCGAACCTCGACGGGCTATGGGGAACTGCAGGTTAGTAACTAGCCTCAACGAATTAATAGTGTCATCCAACGTTTTCTTGCTGGTCGTTGTTGTATGGGCGAATTTTGTTTTACCGAAACCGTTGGAAGCGTTCCAAAACCGCTTGTTACTCAGTAAATGCAACGCTGTAATGTATGGAAACACTCGTTAATTTGTGTGACAATTTAACTTCCGCATTACTCATTTAAGCTGGTGTGCATGAGGTGATGTGTAGAGGGCCAAGTATCGCATTCGTAATTTAATTGATTACAAATTCGTCACATTTGTCGACAGGGAGGCTCTTATAACCTTAATGTATTCCCGTCTAGTTTGAGGGCACTAGTGAACATTAACTTCAAACGACCCGCATTCAGGACACAAACAGAGCATCAGGTAAACTGTCGGATAAACTTACGAAAATTGCTAAACAAATGAGGTTCATCGGCCAACGCCTGCGACATTCCACGAAGCAGCCGAGTGCGATATAGGTGGCTAGAAACACAGCACTGATTATGGTTATACGAGACCGATTAAACGGAAATGGTAAATCACCCACTATGATAGATAATAAATCCACGGATATCGATGGACACCCTGCCTGACGACTGGTCTAAATTGTGACTTGGTTAGGGAAACAACATACAAGCAAACTTACACTAGGGTGAAGACACAGACCACTGTGAAGGTGATGATTATCTGCGCGGCCAGAAGGAGGTAAACCTAGGTCGAAGAAAAGGTAATCATTAGACATAAAATTGAATTGACACTGGCATATGTAGGAGTGACCATTAGTGAAGCAGTTACCTTCCGGATAAAAGCCCTTCTCACGGACTTGTTGCTGAAGCTTGATGCGGCAAAAGGTGCGGCTTCAGGGGTTATGTCCTCGGAAAGGGGATTCCGTGGCACCTGGGATGGCATACCGCCAGCTGAAAATGCAAAAGAACGCACCATTTACGCACTGTTGGTAAAACGAAATCTATGGAAATATACGAAAAATAAAAGGCCTATCGCGCTTAATTTAGGTAGAAGAGGCAACAATCTTGCACGTCCAGATAGATGACCCAATCGGGATTCACAAGCACAACGCACATAGTGTTTACAGAGATATCCTGTCCATTGTACTAGCTACCCCTTCTTTGGAAAAAGTAGAACTGTATACGAGCAAGTATCGTTAAACAGCTGGACTCTGTCTCTTCAGTATAAACCGATCAAGACTACTTGTATTTGTTCCATATAACCTACGAAGCGCTGCTAGTGTAGAGTGACACCAGTACGTTTCCAGGTGCACGTTTAGCGGTTATAACCCAGTTACTTTATCAGCACAACAAATATGACTGGGTACTTTGGGTTGGTTCGTCACGTGGTACAAGCAATTGCTCACTGTTACTGAAGGGAGTTACTTTCCGGTTACCCCATCTACAACTGAGTAAGCTTCGAAGGAAACAAATGTTGCTTTGATAAATAATAGAATTCACCGTCTGCTGTTAAGTTTTTATGGATGAAGACTATGTTGCCCATTCTGTACTACGGCTCACGGTCGAAACTCGCATAAGTCGTTGGCGCGCAAGAGTAAGGTAGTAGATTTGAATCCGGCAGGATTCGGCCGGTGCGGGCTACTGACGAGTCCCACTAGGACGTAACGGCCGTCCAGCTCTTTCCTGGATGTGTAGTGGCTGTGCCTGAGTCTAAGCGACAACACTTCACAAAAACTAAATAAATCCCACTACTGCCTACAGATAAGCAGTGGTCGCATTGGCAGCTTACATGCCACCTCGATTGATGGCGGCTTGCGAAGGAAGTCGTGGCTCTGGAGGCTATCCTTGTCCTTTGCACGTTCATAACATGCATGACAGTAGTGGATGCGTCGCGCTGTATCGCATTTAGATCTCAGTCATGGTGGCCAGCTGCCGTCGCGCATGGCTCAGTGGCATAAGTCGCTGGCTCGCAAGAGTTAGGTCTCGCGTTCTAACCCGCCAGCATTCGACAAGTGTGCGCTACTGATGAGTCCCAATAGGACGAAGCGGCCGTCTAGCGCTTTCCTGGACGTGTAGTGGCTGTCTGTCTGAGTCTAACTGACGAACCTTCGCCATATACTAGTGGGACGTTCGCCGTCGCCTACCAGTCTGGTTAAGCGGTCATTTTGCAGCTGAATCCGTGGTACCTTAATAACTCGGCTAATTCTAACACGAAGTAGAAAAAGCTATGGCTGGATAGCCGAGCAACCTCCCCGTGGTGCCAGTTGGGTGGTTCAGGTTTAACCCGTTCCAGAAAATAGTTCGGCGGCAGAGTTCTAGGACGTGGTGGATTTTCGCCTGGCAAACGTTCTCCCTATAAAAAACCCCAAAATGTCTGCTTAACAACACTGATGTGGCGGATGTGACTCACCGCTAAATAAACTCAGTGACCAAGCTTATGCCGATAAGCTTATCAAATCCACGGACGTCAAATATTTCTTCAGCCACCGGTGACGCGATTGAACTCATTCAAAAGAATAGTAACACATTTACAATCACAAGCAAAACACACACCTACCTACATACCTACATTTATGGATGCAGATATATGAAAATCCTATTATGCTATTGCACATTTCTTGATCAATTTTTTTACTATTACTATGACCAAGCCTTTGATGGTATGCTTGGAATAGTCCAGAATAAACATTTTTTTATCCATTTAATGTTGCAACCTTTCTCCGCACGATGAAATGTTGTCGGTGACTGTGCGTTGTCAGTAAGGTGTGGGTTATTAACCACACATTTTGGTTGTCTTTTGATGTGTGTTGTGCTTGTCAGTAAAAATTTTTGAACTAATTTTGGTGGATAATTCATTTAAGTTAACTCGCAGACAGATATTGTTCTATGCAAGCGCAGAAGAACCAGACCACCTCTTTTTCTTGATTGGACTCGTCTGTTGTGCACATTTCTCAGCTCTATCGGAAAGCGACCCACGACTTCTTGAAGCCAGCAGCTTACGCCAACTGGCCAGGTGTAAGGACATTAACAATCGTGGTTTACAAGCCAGCTGCGATATGGCACCATTCACCATTAACTGTCACACAAGTTAAAGGCCTTGCAGCTGACAACGATGTTCTCTAGAGGTACATTTTCACCTAAAGCTGCAGTTACAAATGGCTACCCTCGTAAGTTCACTGAGAAGCACAGTTAAATCAGCCGAAAGATCCAGTGCCCGCCGAGTCTAAAAAGAACGTGTTCTTGTAGCTCCTTCTTAAGGGTGACATTGCTATACTGAGGACTACCAGGCGATTAATCCTTGTCACGCAGAAGATCTTATGTGCTGCCAAAATCAATATTTTCTACCGAACTCACAATGTGCCGCCGCCGCCACTGAGGGGAACCCGGCCTATGGGGGTCAACACCCATTGTGTATACCAACTCGTCCGGAACTGTATAAGCAGTATCCATGGGACATTGAGTTCCCGGATGCAGGAGCACGTTTTAGAGTGGATCCAACATGAGACGACTCAACGAGCGCACCCGACTTAAGCTACACATTCAGACAGACAGATAGCTTTTTCGATTGGCAGGCACTTATTGAGCTCAGGTCACCAGATCAAGGTCGGCACGTCCTTCAAAGTTCTGCTGCGGCATACCAATTCTCGTCTCATCCGCCTCGCCGAGGCTGTTGCATTAAGTCGCGTCAAACCGGAGCTGTGTGTTCAAAAGCAACTATCGGTCAGCCACAGGTTACCTTGGACGTACTGACGTGATTTCCGTCTTTCTTTCGTTTCATTCCAAGTTTGCATCCTTTAACGGTTGTAGTTCATTTTACTTATCGTTTTCCGCATTAAAGAGCCGATACAAAATGCGTGAAGTTACCCAGCTTCGTCTTCTCGCTGGGTTTTTCAAAAACTGTATGATAGGTGGGTAACCTCTGGTGTAATTTTCGCGAATAATAATTGTTACGTATCAGGTTTTCCTTCACTCTCTTACTTACCCCTTATTAGCCGGGTTTTGTTTGGTTCGGAGTCAAATTTGTAGTGTACGGAAGCAAGACTGTCGATTATAATAGCAATGAAGTAGGCGCTAGTCCTTCTGCCGTTTTGAATGCCATTGCTGCCGCCACTGCTACGGCCATTAACAATACTGAATACTGCATAGAGGCAGCTATAAAAGATATCTGTGTGGCTGCATCTAAAATCTCTCATACACGATGACTTATTATCTTGGAGAGCATTCCAGATATTTCATATCGGAAAAGTGTTTGTCCTCGAACATTTTGATAACTAAACTATTAGACGTTTGCAAATCCAGCGGCATGATCAGATTTTAAGTATAAATACAATGCGTCCATGATATCCAATTAGGATTTTCAGAGAAAACAGTAGTGTTGACTCGTTTAAGCGTTTGATCATTCATCTATTCATTTAACCAAGGATAGTTCGTGTAAAAGACTGTCGTTTGCAAAGCCACAGTTCGAAGGTTCCACATGAAACTTAATAAAACACTGTGGCCTAAGTACAAAATGAGATCTTTAGGAATCGAATCATGGTCGGAGTAGAAACGGCTGAGATTGGAAGTTCGTTTGTGGTAGACCGGGATGCAAAATTAATTCCAAAAGTTATTATGTTTGCAGAAGCAACAACAGCCAATGAAACGACAAAATGCTAGACCTCTGATTTGCTAATGGACAAACGCAGCGGGACGCAACTTACCCGACACCTTTTGTCATTCCTAGATTGTGGCTAGCTAAAATTGGCATCGATTGCTACCGGGGCTGTACTAAGTAATTGACCCGCGAGTAGTGGTTCTGAGCCACTGATTTGTCACCATCTACCGGGTTTGAAGACCTTTGCAGTGTTCAAAAAGATCGCTGGCATAACATATTGGTGTCTTGATGATTACTTTGTCAGATCAGCACGAAGCGGCTGATGAGGTTCACTAAGCCCAACAAACACCTTAAATCTCACTGAGAATTGGAGTTGACACAGCCAAATGACCCTCTTTATCACCCAGCTTTCAGAGGTCTAATGAGGTGATATTGCACTTCTACCAAGAAGGTGAGGTTCACTATTGACAGCAGTGAGTAGATGATGGAAGCAAGGACGTCACGCGATTACTACAATAATTAAATTTTGGTTGATACTACCTGGTAACATCACAGGCCGGCTAGAGCAGCCGAGATAGTTCTGTTTTCCAACATCAAGACGCAGTTTCTGGGACATAACCCGACTACTGTGACAGCCTAGTATGTGCTCTTGAAACTGCCAGTAGCCCGTTTGCGCAAAGTTACGCTTTTTATGTTGCAGAGCGGCTTCTGTCTGATGGATGGGATAAAGGGCAGTTCTTGGAGGGAGCTGGGCTACATTGTTGAAGGAGTGCGGTAGAGTGTACCACTAAAATGGGAGTTTGGAAACAGATGAGTTAACTTAGCTGAGTAGCAAATAAGTGTGCAACACCTGACATCGTGTTCCGGAAGTGAATAACGGAACACTTCGCTGCGCTGTTGGACAGTTTAGACAAGAGCCAGTTGTTATGAAACCGATCCAATGAGCACAGTGCAGAAGAAACACAGCTAGTCAACGGTTTGTGTGATCACACTGTATCAATTGAGTCGCATTCTTTTGTTTTTATTTCCGTGTATGATTACGATGAAAAGACTCGATTCAATCTGAGTACACTTGACACCATATTTTAGTCAGCCAAATAAATAGATGAGCCGAAAGTGGGGTGTAAATCTGGGTTACTAGAAACGGCGTTTTTCCTCCCTAGAATAAACTATATTTTAGTGCTTGATAAAGTGTATCTTATTTTGTGACAATCTGTATATATATATATATATATATATATATATATATATACGATATTGTAGTGAATTTGTACGTATTGGCCTTATTATATTGACCAAACTCTGTTCCAGTATGAGATCTACTTTATCAGGCACTAGGATAGAGTTTATTCTAGGA